TTAGCGAATTGATGTGTTGAATCGATATTTGGTGAGAAATTTCCTATTTCGGAAAAGTTAAACTTTTAGGTTTAACAATAGGCATAGCCACTATTCAGGCATAGCTAGTATATAATATTGTTTTGGATTTCTTTTTCAATATTAGTTAGATGTATATGTGTAGGCAAGCTAGCATTTAACTTGCTACTTTATATACATAAGAGATGTTGTTTTTTTCATGATGTTACCTTGTTATATACAATATCAAATAAAGAAATAATGTTTACCTATGGGAAAAGCCTCTTTAAAAAAAAATAAATATTTATAATTTCTAAGTATATTAATTTATAAATTTTTATAAATTATAAATTAAAATTTAAAACATATTTCATTTACAATTTTATAAAATATTAATTAAAAAATAAATAAATTAATTAATTATAAATTCATAGTATAGTAATAATTCTGTTAATATATTTAATTTAATTTTTGAATAATATGTTTTAATATAATATGTTACAGACTTAAAATATAAATCAATTAAGATAAAATTATTAATTACAAGTAATAAAAAAACAAAATAATTATTAAATAAATCTTAATTTTGAGTAAAAATATTATTATTGCAAATAATAAAAATGTTAATGTTATACATTATATCAATAATATCTTTTGAAAATTATAATAAAAGTCGACTGAAATAACTTAGATTAATCTCTATAATGGCAATTTATATGATTTCACAAATGAATAAGTTTTTTAGAATTTTTATTTCTTAAAATATTAGATTCTACTTGAAATATAGTAATTTGTATAGTTATATGCTGTATATTGAAGTGATAAATACTGTAAGTAACTTATTAGAATAAGAGTACCATATAATCCATGGTCGAAACCAATATAAAATGAAACCAGAGCAAAATTATTCATATTGTGAAATGATATTGACTAAAAAAAAAAAAAATTATCAATAGGAACTATCAAGTTAAAAAACCAGCCTCGATCGATTTGATCATTCTAAGCCAACTATTTGTTATTCAATGCCTTTTAGGATCGAGGCTTGATTTGTTTTTACGATCGTCGTATAATGAAACTCGGATATCGAATTTTAAGAGAATACGCATTTGGTTAAGGCAAAACTTTCCTAGTTTCATACAGCTAAAGACTGGGTGTCTTCCTTGATATATCCAAAAGCGTCATGGTAGACCTATCATGTCGTAGCATACGGCATACTATTACTCAATATACAATATTTACATCATCTAATTGGTCATCGTTTTATATTATTACATGATAAGCCACAAAAAACAGTTTGCAACTCCATATTTGTCGAAAACGCATAATTGTTTCAGTTACACGCAAATTCCGATTACATATAAATTTATTTATAGTACTTAAAAAGAGTCTTTTCAACTTTTTATCGATTATATTCAATTTTAAATAGGAGAAAAGCGGAGTTTTTTAATTTTAATTTTCTTAATTTTCTTAATGAACCATTTTCAAAATGGAAGGAAATACTGATCCTTCTCACAAGGCAATATCAACAGATACTAATTTGCAAGCACAAGAGGATTCACATGATGAAGTTCTTTCATCGAAATTTCCGGACAATATCACTCCTTCGAATCCCGGATTTGGGTCAATATCATTTGGTGACACTCCATCACGAACATATCAATATAGTGATCAATTGATGCTGCGAGACGATAGCCTCAATGAACATTCTCAACAATTAACGCCATTTCTTGGTGAAGAAAATATAGAAGAAGAAGGTAATGAAGAATATGTAGAAATGTTGGATGTCTCTCGAAGACAAAGTTTGGCCATCGAACCTTCATCAGATGTGGAGAACGATCGAGAGGACTATTTTGAGAATTTCGATAAAGTTGATGATGACACAACAGCCGACATACACCAAAAATCACAAGGGGACACTCGTATTCATTTTGACGATCCTGATCACGAACATTCGAATAAAAATACCAAGTCTCGAAGGGAAACATCTAAAAGTCTCAGAAGAATGAGCAGTCTTCTTACAAGGGTTTCCAGTCGTGTTGTTAATATAAGCAACTTAACGAGGGAACAACTCCAAAAGGTCGATGAGCACATTCTGGAAGATTTTAAACCAAAACGACAGAGTCGCTTTAGAAAATCATCCGAACGGAATTCAGTGATCAATTATGAGAAGATTTCTCAAAAACTACCAATTACCAGTGAACTGCCGAAGAACAAAAATTCAACAACAAATCCTCTTAGTGGGAATGCACTTTTGATTTTTGGTCCTGATCACCCCATAAGAAGGAGTCTTTATGTGATCTTGAGTAACCCGTAAGTTGTGTTGACCATCACAAAGAATCATGTGAACATTTTTTGATAAAAAATTTTCTTTAACCGGACAATTCGGTAGGTGGACGGAAACATTTATACTAGGTCTGATTATAACAAATATTATATTATGGATTGTCGACAATTGGGCTCCTCCTCCTATCGGTGTAAATAATCCTCGACGAACAAAATGGGGAAGCTCTGCAATTGACTATGCTTTACTAGCAATATTCATTATATACACGTAGGTTATCTGACATATGTACTCTATTCTATAAAAAATGCCATCCATCAATGCTTTTTAATCAATTGTTTTATTATTAGATTTGAAATACTTTGTCGGATAGTGGTATCTGGATTTATCATTAATCCTGAAATAGAGAGAACAGATAACGTGGCACAGTCAAAATCTGAGTCAGCGGAAAATGCTAAAAGTAATCAACATACACGTTCAATTAAAAGGCATTCTGCATATCTTAGGCACACCTTCAACAGACTAGATATGGTAGCCGTGACGTGTTATTGGATAGACCTAGCGCTTACCTTTTCCGGAGTGAATCATTTTTTTATTTTTAAAGCATTGTCTACTCTTAGAAGTCTCAGACTCCTTGCAATTAGTAGCGGTGGATCTACAATATTACAATCTTTGAAAAAAAGCGCCCCACTACTCTTAAACGTAACTTATTTTATCGGGTTCTTTTTTGTTCTCCTTAGCATCATAGGTGTGCAGGCCTTCAAAGGATCATTGCAGAGACGATGTGTATGGGTTGATCCAAGCGGTTCAAACAATTATACCTTGGAAACTCAATATTGCGGGGGTTATCATCAGAACGGCACATCTCATCCATTTATCGGTTCACCCGTTCAATATGCCAAAGGATATATTTGTCCCGAGGGTCAAGTTTGTATGGTAAGATTTTTTTTTAATTAACACATTGGAACGTGTTCATGTTGAGTTCGATTAATAATGCAATCTAATATAGGAAGTTGGGAATCCACATAATGGATTGTATACTTTTGATAATGTTGGTTACTCCATGATCCTAATGTTTCTTGTCGCTTCAAGTAAGTTCGATGTATTGAAGATCTTTATATCGATCATTGATTTTAATTATTCCTTCATGTTAGCATCGAATTGGACAGACCTTATGTATATTATTATGGATTCTGAATTTGGATGGTCCAGCATCTTTTTTGTGACAGGAATTGTCATACTGAATTTTTGGCTGCTCAACTTATTCGTGGCCGTCATTACAAGCATGTTTGCAAAGATTCGAGAGGATAATGCTTCTCGTTCGGCTTTCACACTATCAAAGTAATTTTTCATATCTGATTTTTACCGTAACCACCTCCTTGATAATGAATTATATATTATGTGTGTAGATCTACTCCCGTACTATTAGAAGAAGAAGAAGGTTGGACCATACAAAATGGTCGCCAAAAATCATCTAATTGGCTGAGTCGTTTTATGGAGCAAACGAAATACTGGTGGATTGTGCTCATATTTATCGATATATTTGTCATGGCGTACAGGTCTTCTTCTATGACCAGTGATTTTGCCGAATTTTTGGGTAAATTTTCTGACCTTGCTCTATTTCTATGGTGATGAAGTAAATAACAACGGATACGCATTAACATTTGTTATATTTGATTTGATGATAATAGATCGCACTGAATTGGCATTCACAATAATTTTTGCAGTAGAAATAATTTTAAGACTTCTCTCATACACCCCAAAATACTATTTATTCTTTCATTCCAACAAAGAAACTGTTGATCTGTTATTAGCTATAGTAACATGCATCATCCAGATTCCCGTCATTAAGAATTCAACCGCCTATCCATATCTGACAGCATTTCAGATTGTTAGGGTATATCGTGTTGTAATCGCGGTTCCTCGATTAAGAAATATGTTGGTGAGATTTTTTTTTATACTAACATATCGGAAAATATCGTCAAGTAGTGAACTTTTTATTATTATCACCATTTACATCTGAATTGTAGATCAACGTTTTGGGCAGCGTCGCTGGTATTGCTAATCTTATTTTATTCATTCTAATGGTGAACTTAATTGCTGCCATATCCGTAAGTAAATATAAATTAAGAATATAAGACCTTCGAATTTATTATAACTGGCTTATCATCTATCTATTATAATAAAGGGTCTTCTACTGTTGCAAGGTGACATTCCAAATGACGGCATCAATTTAATGACATTTGCGGATATTTTTAATAGCTTTATCGCATTCTATCAGGTAAGCCTTGTTCGCGGATTCTTTTTTTTTTTTAGGTTTTCTGTTCACACAATATCCATCAAAATATAGCTTTTTTCCGGATCAGATTGGACCAACGTGTTTAACAATGTGTTGGAGTATGATTCAAAAGCTGGGTCCACGTTATCGGCTATCATTGCAGCGCTATTTCTTTTGACATACCTCAGTGTGTCCAATTGTAAGTTAACTGTAAAAAAAACTGAAGTTAACGAGAATATCGAATTTACCGATCTTTCCATCACAATTTTCTCCGTTAAATTGTAGTTATACTTTTGAATATGTTTGTCGCTGTGATAGCGGAGAATTTCGAAATTGCTGAAGAGGAGAAACACAAGATACAGGTTCAAGAATTCCGGCAAAAATCTGATCCGTCAGTGAAAAAAGATGAAGCAATTTATAGATGGAACTTTTATAGATATTTCAAAGCCAAACCAAAAGCTATATCGGTGGAAAGCATACCTTCGAACCTAATTTTGCAGACGCAAAAAAGTCGCGTCTGGGATTTTCTTAAAGATAATCAGGATGATGGAAAAAAGGTTTGTTAAATGCTGTGAACTATTCTATGAAATCCATCAACATTAAAAATTGACCTCGTTAATTTAAAATCAAAGAACCATTCAACAAAGAATTTGATGGAGCCTACAAATAATTTCATTATTCGGATCAAAAGATTTTTTGGTTACAATGTCGAAGATGACGAGATTGCTCTAATTGAACAAAAAGTCGAGAGGCCAAGTCTGCAGTACGAAGAAACTAAAGGAATTACGGAAAATAAGTAAATGAACACCTAAGTAATTCTCAAGTGTTTAATCATTTAATTGTTATTAAATTAAATTCTCGTTCTTTAAGAAATCTACTTGCAACGCCAGTCGCAGGCGCCCATACCGAAACATATATTGACGATTATCAAGAACGTCAAGCTCTCAAAGCGGACTTTATTGCAGCTCATCCAGGCTATGACACTTCACTTTGGTTATTCTCGTCTAATAATCGTCTGAGAAAGTTTTGTCAATTTCTTGTACCTCCAAGCCACGGTCGACGAATTCGAGGCATTCCACCTTCTCAGACGTGGAGCTTTTGTGTCAGTGCCTTCATTTATGTGTGTGTTGTATCAAATGTGGTTCTTGCCACGATCGTTGTACCTTCCTACCAAAAACAATATTTTCAAGACAGAGGAGGATTAAAACGAATTACTTGGTTCTGGATAACTGATGTCGCGTTCACCGCCATTTTTACCTTGGAGTTTCTTATCAAGGTGATTGCGGATGGATTTCTCCTGACTCCTAATGCATACTTGCTTAATGTTTGGAATATTGTTGATTTCTTTGTACTTTCGACTTTGTATGCCAACGTAATTATTGGACCAACAAGTAGATTTGGTGCACCAAGGATTATTCGATCTTTTAAAGCACTTCGAGCGTTAAGGCTAATTAACTTGAATAGTGCAATTAAAGATACATTTTATGAAATTCTTATAGCCGGTGCCCCACGTATCTTGGATGCTTCTTTCTTGGCTCTTTGCTTGATCATACCGTTTGCCATTTATGGAACAAATATTTTCGCGGGACTTTTTTATAATTGCAATGACAATGGTTCCTCTGTCCAAAGAAACAGTGATTGCGTGGGAGAGTACGGCGCATCAACTTTTTATTGGACTTACCCAGTACCAAGAGTGTGGGATAATCCATACGAGTACAGTTTTGATTCGTTCAAGGATAGCTTACTGATTCTTTTTGAAGGCGTCTCGGGAGAGGGATGGATTGGGGTGATGAACTCGGCAATGCAAATCACCGGTATAGATCTCAGTCCTCAACCGAACGCCACAAAATGGCACGCATTATTTTTCATTGTTTTCAACATGACCGGAGCAGTATTCGTTTTAACATTATTTATTAGTGTAATCATAACGAATTTCCAAAAGAAATCCGGCGATGCATATCTAACTGAGGAGCAAAAGAGATGGAACGATTTGAAGAAATTACTAAAACGGATTAAACCCTCAAAAATACCTAAAGTTCGACCTACGGGTCGTTTTCGAGAATTTTGCTATGATTACGCATGTGAGAAAAGGGGGACATTTTCGCGTATCATGACCGTGATCTATATTTTACACATGATTTTGCTTATGACTGAATTCTATCGGGCTCCAAAATGGTGGGAAATTTCAAGAGGTAAAGAGATAATGCATTCATAGGTGATTTTGTTTTGCATATATTAACGTCGACACATTTTGTCCTAAAAAAAACACAGTGACTGTGCTCTTAATATTTATTGGAATATATATAATAGAACTTGGGATGAAATTACTAGGTTTAGGATGGAAGGTCTTCCGGGCGAATCATTGGAATTTATTTGATTTGGTTGTGGTTGCGGGAGCAGCGATAACGACGGTCCCAAGTTTAATCGTCGAATCAGATGGCATGATCATACAATTTCAGAAAATCTTCCTTTGCTTGATTACCTTCAAGCTGTTCCAAAAAAGTGATGTGATGAACCAACTTTTTAAGAACACTATGTAATCATTCTTTTTTTCTCGTAAAAAAAAAAAATTAAATTAAATTCAACTTATCATTTGTCACAATTAAATTCTCTTTCTTTAACAGTGGAAGTCTGCCTTCGATATTCAACCTCTTCGCAGTTTGGTTTATCGTTTTCGTGATATACTCGATAGTGTTTATGGAAATCTTTGGACTCACGAGATATGGACAAAACGGAAATGACCACGTGAATTTCCGTCACTTTGGTATTTCCATGTTGACATTTTTCAGGATGTCTACTGGGTAATTATAACTCTTTCGTCATACACCATTACCGATAGTTTTTTTAGGGACACAATAATAACATACTTAATTCACAGGGAACAATGGAATTCTTTGATGCACGACTTTTCTGTTGAATCTCCAAATTGCGTGCAAGATGATAACTTTTTGAATTCTGATTGTGGAAGTAGAACATGGGCATACATTCTATTTATCTCATGGAACGTACTCTCCATGTACATATTCGCCAATATGTTTATCGGTTTGGTCGGGGACAATTTCTCTTACTGCTATCAAATTGCAGCAGAATTTTCTCTAATCAACCGAAACGAAATTAGAAAATATCCTTTATTTATTTATTTATTTATTTACACCACCAGAGGTTCTTTATATTTTTCTTGACTAATTTGACACATTAAAGAAAGCCTGGGGTGCAATTGACACAGAAAGAACTGGATACATAAAAAGCGAAAATATTGGCAAATTCTTTTCGGTACATTATTTTTGTTAATTCATTTTATTTATTCTTTCTTGTTAATTTACAACTTACAAAAAGAAAATTACTTGTAATCTAGAAACTCGAAGGCTCATTTCAAGTTCGCATATATGACAGCGAACATTTAATATCAAATCTGATATTAAATTCACGGGTTGTTTACACACCAACCGCCGAGGTTGATACCGGAAAGATGACTTCGAGTATAGCGACCAACAGAAAGTCTAATCCTCTGGTGGAGGGAAATATGGATATCAGGAAGTTGGAACAGAATATAAAAAACATTAGCCCTTCTAAAACCTTTGAACGGAAGAGGATTTATAATATGATTTACCAGGTATGTGTACTTGCTAATATATTTTCTCTACATTCTCAAACTTACCAAATGAGTTAACTTTTTTTAAAGGAAGCAATGTTGTCAACTGAAAGAGATGTTCACGGAAACGAAAAGGGAATTTCGTTCACGAACATGCTCTTGCTGCTCGCTCATTATAAACTTGTGAATGACGAAAAATGTTTAACGTGGGTTACTTTGTCTTTTCTATTTTTATTCACTTTTTCGTTTAAAAAAAAGGAATTTATTGAACTTCTCATAGGATCAACGAGTACATCAAGAGGGCCAACAAATTGGAGAGGGTAAAAGATAACGTTAGTAGAGATCGCGTAAAATCTCTATTACGTACAATCTATTGGCGTAGAAAATTCAAAGCCATCAGAGAAAATAGGAGGAGTAAAGTCGAATCTGGTAAACGTTTATTTCATCTGGACTTAGACTAATCTTTGTCCTCTCATTAATCCAAAATTACATTATTTTTTTACAGTTCCACTTATAATGGTTAATAATCAAGAATCACAATTACCCACACTTCAAATAAGCACGCCGTCACTTGGTCGCATATCTTTTCAATCGAATTCACCGACAACTCCGACATTCGCCGCAACATCACAAACTCCTAATTCGCCTAGTTCCCAAATTTCTGAACGTGATAGGTCTATAGCTGCATCGGAGTTTAATTTAGAAAATTCTCCGAGAGCCTCTCACGATTCGTAAGTCTTGATTCCATTGTTTACTTATTTAATTTTTTTTTAACATTTTATATTTGGTTACTAGGGACGGCGGATACTTTCTGGGAGCCAGTACCAGTAACATATGGAGTTCTTCGGACACCAATAGAGATATGGATGACGTTACCGCTGAGCAGGTTCTTAATAGTTTTCAAAGCAATTCTTGGCATGGTAGGATGCAAATAAATTATCATTTTCACTATCTCATTTTATCTGAATGCATTAATTAAGTTGATTTTCCATACTTTTAGCAATCTTGCAGGAAATGTCACAAAACGAAGAAAATAGTCAAAGTCAACAATAAATTAGCAATTAATTATAACTGTCTTATAAAAAAGATAAAAAAAAAAAACAATCTTAATTTTTAAAAAAAACTCTACACCTATTTAAATTATTATAGGCTTGGGGCATGCGAAAGGGGGATAAAACCAATTTCAAATTTTGAGTGAATTATAGAAGCACACCTTTTCTGTATTACATTAAAAATTAATTCAATGTGTCTAAAAGTTCGTGGTTAAAACCCGGATCGAACGGAATAATCAGGAAAAAATTTCTAGGTTTAACGCAGTAGACATCAGTATTGCATCAGTATTGTGAGAAGGTCATTATAATGCACGGGGTTCCATTCGGACAAATTATACAATTGAAAACGTGTCGTTCCTGATTTTTTCGAAGGTCTCCATCCTCGTCAGATGCTCTACACACAACTATGGACCATAAGCCTCATTCTTTCTCATTCTTTGTTGCTTTTAATGTCATTATGAACGTTCTTTTCGTCTCAAAGGAACCTATAAAGCATTTATTTATAAAATTTCTATTGTATTCATCAACCATGTATATGAATTGTAAGGAAGCTAGAATGGTTCCGCGGAATTTCGTTAAATTCGCGCGTAAAATAAATTAAAGAGACTATAATAACTATTTGTTATAGTCACTCACTGGTGCCCTTTTGATGCGATGGACATCATCACTTTTGTTGAACAGTATGAAAGGAAAGACGAGTGAGAATTATACCTTAAAAATTCTTCAAATAATAATAATAATTTCTTACATCTTGATGTCATAAGCGTGCTCATTCTCTGGTTTTACATTAGCCCTCGCCGCAATATATGCACCCACACCTTTACTTGCGTACATGTCCAGGATGTCCTGGTGCTCTTTTGAAACATTCCCACTATCCAAAGAATCCGTGTACAAATAAAATTCTTTGATCATGTTCGCTTCCGCATTTTTGAAAAAAATTTCTAACGCTTCGGCGGTAATAGTCCAAGGGAGAAGTAATCCTAAATATTTCAACGGCCAGTGTAATACCTTTCCACATTCTGGCAATAACTCTTCAAGATTGTATATATGGGAGGCATCACTTGAGGCATTGTAAAAAGAAGCTTCCGTTAATAAAATTAATGATCCTAGGATTGTGGGTAGCAGATGAATTGTTTCTTTTGATAATTTAAATGTGAGTAATGTTAAATTGATACAACATTGTATTACTGTTTTAGTCAACAACATGATGTTCTCTGGATCCTTATGATAATACCAGAGAAGACGTAAATAGACGAGTTTATTGTTAGTGTTCTGAAGTAGGGTAACTAATTGACTTATGTGTGGGGAATGTATTTCGACATCCAAGACCGTGAGATTTTTGTAGGTGGTGAATAAAAACTTTTCCAAGACCTGTTTTGAAAATACGATAGCCGAAGAATTTAGGGTTAGGATCTGAAGATTTTCTAAAGATATAACAGGTCCGACTTCATTCCACGTCGGGTCGAACTCTTTCTCTTTGATTGTTAGTTCTATCAAGTTCGAAGAGTGATTCTCATGTAAGATCTGTAAGACCTTTGATAAATTAGAACAATTGATCAAAGCCACAGTTTTAAGATTCTTCTGAGATCGTATGAGGGCATCCATCCCAGGATTCATATCCGAATTGGTAATTCTCATTTTTGTAGTCTGTGTGGAAATTTGAGCGAAGCAATTAATTATTTCTGAGGGCATGCAATAAGAGTGAAATAGATCAAGTTTTTCAAATAGTCCTCGGGTGCAATTCGTTGAGGTGAATAGGACATGCGGATCGTGGAGTATCTCGTTAAATCCACCATAATCCAATGATATCAACACAAGACTCTTGAATGACGGACAGCTACTCAATAACATATTCCAAATTTCTCGGAAGATTTGATTTTCAAGATCATAATTGGTTTTGTTGTTAAACTTGAATCTCCTTGTTGTCCATCTCATAATTAACTTGTAAATTATCGTGAATTCAAGGTGACGCAAGTAAGACGGATAGTTGAACGAAGGTGTTGTAAGTACAACTGGTTCAAGGTTGACAAACAGTTGACCCCGTGTTTTTTTGGGAAGACATGATATGTAAGTTTCAATGATATCAATGTAGCTAGCTTCGGTGAAATGGCTGTAATTTAAGAAAGGATTAAACCAGAAAAAAGGAACCACATTTTGAGACCAGAAACGATTAACGAAGAGACATTGGTATAAGGATTTGTTGTCCAAGTGTTTGAAGACACCTTCGAGACATTCTGGAAGTTGTAGAAAGTGCATGATTACGAAATGAGAGTTGGAAGGGTTTGGTGACTGACGATAGGATCATAATTAACGGAATATTCTTCACATTCGCACCCAATCACGTAACTGACTGAATTCAAAAATGGACTTGTGTACATATACTGTAGTATGTAATGAAAGTACCTTAAAGTTCTCTAATTAACGCACGTGGCATAATCACCTGAACAAAAAAAAAGCATTTGTCCATACTCGGCAGTGAATATTCGGAAAATTAAATTTCGCGACGCTACAACTGTACATTGCAAATTATTAGACTTTTTATCTAATGCTTGATTGATTGGCTTCTATTATTGCACGTACTCTTTTTTGGCGAAGTTTGCGTAGTTTTAACTAATACATTTATTTACCTAATCTTGTGTTACATGCCTACGCTAGTCAAAACCCAAATCTGTAGATATTATGTTTTTGAGTTATTAATAATTATGATTAAAATTAATTCACGATTTTTTTAATTAAACGATTTTAATATTTTACAGGTTTCATTTTTTTCTGTTTTTTTTTTTTAAATAAACTTATGTATCAAACAATATTAATAAAATCTTTGTTGAATTTCAATAAAAAAAGTTTTTTTTTTTTTTTTTTAAATTAAGATCATATCAAATCATACAATACTTTGAAACTTATTTTGTATATTTAAAAATAATTTGATAAAACAATATATCATTTATTTATTTATTTATTATTATTCATTATTATTATTATACTTTTATATTTCAACAATCAATAAACATGATTTGATAATTTCTTAAAAAAATTTTGTGATATAATAAAATCATGTATTTTTTGATATAATAAAAATATAATATCAAATATATTTCATATGTTGTAAATAAGTATAGCATATGTAAGATTTAAATAAATAAAAAGGATTTATAAAAAATAAATGGAATTTCAATTTAATTGTATTTGGAATTTAATTGATAATTATATAAATTGTTTGATTAAATTATATTATAAATTAAATAAGTGTAAATTTTTGTTTAAGACTATAATTATTATTGAATATACAATATTTCTAACTTATTATTATTCTTTTTTTAATAAAACACATTTTCAATTATTTAAAAAAGTAACAAGCAATCAATATAAAAAATTCTTAAACCTGATAAAGAATCTTTATTGGGAATATATTTTGAACAAAATATCAAACAGAACTTTATTATTTCTAACAAATAATAAATGAGCTTTTTAAAAAATATGTGTGTGTGATTGCTTCAAAAAGGTATTTAATAAATTCATGACCCTTCGGACTTTTATTGGTTGTACTTGCACGTGATTTGGTGCAGCCGTTGTAGTATAATTGTACAATATCTTTGTTTATGAAATACTTTGATTATTGTGAAAAAATCGCATGTTAATTGTTTATTGTTAATTTATGATTATATAAACATAATTTATCCATTCCTGTTGATACATTGACTTTAAAAGTATCAAAGTATAAATAAGATTAGGTGGTTGCTTCCGCCCTTACAGTAGAGTATACGCCCGTGATGTTAAAGTAATTAATTTAGTTTATGATTAAATTAACATACATCGGGTTTTTTTGTTTTTTTTTACCTTCATAAATAGTTTATAGTTTATACAACGAATAGCCTGCTTATGGCGATATTTCTTGTCTCGTCTTTAGATGCAGGCTCAAGTGTATATATACAGTACATATATATTATATTGTTTGTTTGAAACATACAGTATGTTTCACATTAACTTGCAGACGATTCAAGAGCTTTTAACAGCAATATATCTATGCTGCTGTATGTATGAGTTATACAACTTGAAGTCAGCAGGTAATCTTTGAATCGCATCATCACTGAGAGATGGATCGATTGATTCATGTGAATTCAAAACGAACATAACTACATTCTCTATTAGAAACTTTCCTGTATAAAAAATTCGGTGCAAAAAATTTGTTCAATCCATTTTTAATAAACATGTGCATGCGAAACATAGTGACTTTTTTAACCTACCAATAATTTCATCCTTCATTGTAAGGATGTGTTTTTCGTGTTTTATGTTCTCAAATACTTCTGTGTTCAGGATATATTGTTCGAATTTAAGGACGTCGAGAGGATAAATATTCCTTGACTGGAGTCGCCTAAGAACTAATCATAAAAATGAAATTGATGTAAGAGAAGAATATTGAATTCTACAGTATCAGAAAACACTACAAAACATACTCTCTTCAAAAAAATTTTTCATGTATGGAGGAGAATTGTACATTGGAAGTTCTGTGTCAAAGCATTCTAAATATCCGCCCGGTTTCAGAATCCTTGCGATTTCTGCGAATTAAAGGTTAAGGTCAAACTCAAATTCAAAATGTTCCGCGTCGACAAGTTACTCACCCTCGAAGATTCCTTCCAATTGACTAGAGTTGAGATGTATCACGAGATGGCTTAGGTGAATATAATCAAAGGAATTACTTTCTAATAATAAATTTTTTCAAGAAAAGATTCGTTCAAAAGAACTAAATTGTAATAATAACGATTTGTTGAAAAATTAATAAATTTATCACACCAAACGGTAGTTCCCTCAGGATGTCACAATGAATTATCGTAACGTTTCTCGGTTTCTATTCAGGAAGTTGACATATTAACTTAGAAACTGAGTTTAAAAAATGACTCCTAAATTATTTACATGTTTGGGGTACACGTTAAATATATCAAGCGCCGTAAATTGCGAATTAGGATATGATGTAGCCATGTCCATGGACCATACTGGACATGTTCTTGGTACCATAAGAAAAAGCATTACAAGATAGAAAAATTGAAAGTAAACCCTAAAGAAAAAAAAAAAAGGTATTAGCATACCCAACGTCCAGCACTTGGAAATTGCCTCTCGTCAGTTGGTCCTCTATTGGAGATTTGTAATTTCCATCATAGAATGTACGATACATATTATGCCGTATTTGCATTCGATCCATTTGCGCATCATCAAATGTATATAACAGATAGGGCGAATCATCTGAGCGATTATTATTATTAGGTTTTGAGGCTATCCCCAATCTTCTTAATATATCTTTAAAGATTTTATTTCCCATTAATATAAAATCATATTATTCTTCGACATCCGCGTTTATTAACAGAGAAAAAAAGCCTGTTGGTGAAGATAATTTTTTTTTATTCAAATTCGCTGCCGAATAACAAATTTATAAAAGACTTTCGGTACCTTATTATTCGTTGTATTGGTGTTGCACCAATAGACTAAATGTTACCTAAAAGCTGCCATTACGTAAACAGATTACATTATTCGGAAACTTGCGCGATTTTTAAAATCATGATATGAATATAAAGGTACGATTTTTTTTCCTGACAAATTGTTTCGTTGCCAATTATAGGTCAGTCTAGATGAATAAGAGTTCCAGACCGAGTAAATAATGAAGAAAGCTATTGTTGAATGAATAACTTGATGAATAATAAAATACATAAAAAAGTAAAAAAAAAATGCGATCCCTAACAAATGTAGTAACTAGAAGATGATGGTCTTGACACAGCATTAATGGCTTTATTATGAAAATCGCCTTTTTTGGGTTATATTTCATTGGTATTTTCCCCGCTTTTTAACTATAAACAACAAATTATTTGGAAAATATATGTATTTACTTTAAGACAATCTTACAACCAGGGATGTTAACTTGCAATATATACTACAGCTAACCGAAATCCTTGATAAGCATTTATTATTGAAGTTCAGTTTACAACCTGGGCCAGAAATTTTAACGAAACATTTCAAAACAAACATGTAACTTGATAAATTCCTAATACAAATAATAAAATTTTTTGACAAATGTATAAATAATTTATTTAATTTATTTCAAATTACGTATATGAACATTTAAATTTTTAAAACTTAAATCTAAATAAATAAAATTAATAAATAATTTTAAAAATTCAATGTGTTTTATTTACAATTGAAAACATTATCATCATTACCATGAATCAATTAAATAAAAATAAACAATAATAACAAGTTTTTTTAAAAAAAGTTATATCTTGTTTAATTTTAAAAAATTTATTTACAAAATCCATTTATAATTCAAAAAATATATACTATATATATATTTCAATTATATTACATATTCTAAATTAAATATTAACTTTTTTATTATACTTTTATTTAATTAATATTAAAAGCATATATTAAAACAATATATTAATATTTAAAAATATTAAATATAATATAATTTATAAATTAAAAAAAATTTTAATAATAAAAAAAAATAATAACAAAAATAATAATTAATATTATTATATCTTTTTCAATATTGAATTTTTTATAAATTAATATACTGTGTATAACAAAAAAACTTGTTTTATATTAGATTTGTGAATTAGTAACTATACATATTGTTAAAAATTATAAATTCTTGATACAATTGATATAATTATTTAATACAATTATTTGATGCAATTAATTAAATTCCTATTAAAACATATACATAAATAATTGAAATATAATACAATTATTTTTAAGAATTTTGGAAATTGAATTTTTTTTTTTTTTAAGTAGGTAAACATTATCTCTTTATTATCATAAAAATTTTAAATAATTTTACATTTAGAAAGTGACAACATCTCTTGGGTGCATTGCATACAACAAGTTAAATGCTA